TGACAGAGATCTCACATTGAATACTGAAATGATCAAAATAATGTATCTATGCATGCAACAACCCAAGGAGAAATCGAAAGGAAAAAGAGCGAAATCCGGTGAAGACGGGCTTTCAAACGAAACACGGAGTTCTAACTGTAGCGTAAAACGGATCTTAGAGGAAAAAGAGAGTTGAACTTGCCGGCAACATCTTGGCCATCGTAGATGCCACGGTGGACAGTGCCGAAAGTGCCGCGAGCTATGACACTCTTGATGATGAGGTTAGAAGGGTCAATTTCCCAGTCCTGGCGCTGCTTCTTGAAGGTGGGAGCACCGCCAGAAGCAGCAGTTCCGGCGACACCTTTGAACTTAGCGGCGGTGGCAAAGGAGCTAGAGTGACGAGCATGATCAGAGGCGGAATCGTCGTCCTCCTTCTGCTTCATGAGCACCTTGCTGAGGTGGCGCTCGAGCTGCTCATCGATGCTCTTGAGATCAATCTGATCCGCCCTGACGAACCCATCACTAGCTTCCTTCATCTTTGTGCAGTGTAAGTTGTGGGGGGAATGGAGGAGCGTGAAAAGAGGGGGAATTTAGAAGCGTTGAGCGAGATATGGTTGTGGGCGTTTGAGTTGTCGTTTGATGATGTTGGCGTTGCTGTTTCTTGGCTCCGCAAAATTGCCACGGTCGCTCCAATTATCCATGTGGGCACATGGAATTGCCTGCGTAAAACGTGTGACTCTGCCCCACCCGGTCTCCTTCCCCGCCTCAGCTCCTCCCTTACTTGTTTCTCACTCTCATCTTTTGCATTTATTGCCTCTCTTTTTTATTAACTCCATTGCCGTTACCTCTTCTATTTCACAGAGTAAAAACGTTTCAGTCGGCACTGCAAGACAAATTTCCCAACACATTTTCAACTTTTTTTAATGCTTTTTATTTCTTCTTTCTTTTCCAGAAAAGTTCCGGTGAGTTACCTATGGTGGCTCGCATCACAAGAAGCATATTTCATTATAATTTCCAAAAAGATAATTTTAACCTCATAAATTATGGTGAATTTTAATTAATTTTAAAATATTTTTTTAGAAATATAACTATTTTTAAGATTTTTTTTAAACGACTTTTAAATTTTAGATTTTAATTAAAATTTTATCTGGTTGGGATAGTTGAGCTGCACAAGATACATTTCATGCATACAAAGAACGAGACTGAAACTTCCAAACCAAGTTATTTTCCAGAATTGAGACTTACAAACTACATTTCTACAATTTAATCCTCTATGACATCGTGTGATCCAAACGTCCTATATAGAGTTATATATATGATATCAAGTTGATCTTGATTTTTAATAGAAAGATAAGACAAAATACATAAACAGTTATAATAAAAAACACATTTTTCTCAAAATATTTATTGTAACAAAATATCATAAATATATATATATATATATATATATCAAATAAATATTATACAAAAAAAATTCACATATATTTATTATTTGATTAAAAATACTTGTAATTATTATAAAAATCTCTCAAATATTTTATAAAATCATTTTAATTAATTAAAAAAATTATAATAAAATAGCTCCATTAAATATAAAAATGAATAATAATTAAAAAAATTATATTAGTAAAAAATTTAGGGTGTTACAATTATGATGTATATATTTAGTATAAAAATCAATCAAACTATATTTCTAATTATTACATGTGTGTCCATTTAATTATCTACTTAAAAAATTTTAGTGGATTTTATCCACAGATATTGTCATGTATGAATTTTTTTGTCATTCTTAGTTCTTGCCAATGTTTTTAAAATTGGATCAGTCATTAAATCGATCTAGACACTAATTTAAAGTTCAATAATTTAAATATGATA